TGGTGGAAAGAGAATATAAATTAGTACAACCTCTGTGGAAAACAACACAGAGGTTCCTTGAAAACCTACAAATAGAACTACCATAAAACCCAGTAATCCCACTCCTTGGTATTTACTCAAAGACAGGAAAATAATCAGACAGACATTTGCACATTCATGTTTATTGCAGCATTATTCACAATTGTTAAGAAATGGAGTCATCCTAAGTGTCCAAAAACTGATAAGTACATTGAAAAACTGTGACACATGTATACTATAGAATATTACTCAGTTATAAGAAATAATGAATCTTGATACAAAGTGGATGAATATAGAAGACTTAACATTGAGTGAAGTGAGCCAGATTTTGAAAGATACACACTGTATATCCCCACTCACTATGTACTGAACATTTGAAAGATACACACTGCATATCCCCACTCACTATGTACTGAACACCTGCACTCTACAGCAGAAATGTAAAGATCTGAAGATATGATAGTAGAGAGGCTAAGTGTAGATACCAGAGATTGTAAGAGAGGGGAGTGGATTGTAGGGAGTGGGTGGTAGAGGGTGGGGGTAGGGTACAAAAGGAAGAAATATTTAACAGACAAAAAATGTAAAGTTCTCTGTTGAAAAATACTATATTACATACCTCATGATGGGGACTTTATGTAAAATGTTAAACTGATACGAAAAGAAAAAAAAAAAACCACTCATCTTATCATTAAGTCTAAAATAGTTGCTTCTTCCTGCTCATCAGATCCTGTCAGTACGACATCACCAAAGGAAGGGACCAATGAGATAACCTGTGAGATGGAGAGATGATCGAGGTCTCTGAACTGGATTGTGACATGGGGCTGCAGAGTCAATGTGGCCTGCAGTAGGAAAGGGAAGGGCTTTGCTGGCCTTACAGGCTCACAGCAAATGCTTCTGATGGTTTTATTAATAGGGATAGGCAGAAAGTCATTCTGTAGCTGGATACTGTCTCATAACTTAGAGTGATTCAATTTAAGATTTTAAAATGTTATTTTCTAATGAGTTTATCAGGGTGGTAAATGCATTTTGAATTTAAGGTATTTTTTACTTGCCCTGGGTTCACTGGGCTGCAACCCCATCGTAAGCTAAAGAGCATCTGTAGTTGTGGAACCAATGCCAGGGGGTGTGTTGATTTACTCTAGCAACAAAATCATGGCACCAGTGATTAGATTTGCATTATTCCACTGTTTTTCTCCAACAGGCATATGACTTTCGCGCAGGCAGGCAAAGCATTAATGTTGTTTATGTAGATCTTGAGGATTTAAAACCTTGAGATTTTGTTCTTTTTCCCCACAAGTTCTTCAAGGCTATAATACTTTTTTTTTTTTTTTTGGAGAGATTTTCGCTATAGAGCTCGTGCACTCGCCAGACAGACAGAGAGAGACATAGAGACAGAAAGCGAGAAATCACCCCCCAGGGGGAATGGTCATGCCACAATCTCTTCTCCTCCATTCTCCTCTTGGGATCTTGGGCACGCACGCACACGCACCTGGCGTGAGTTTTAAGCCACCGGGTCTGGGATGCGAACTGCGGTCTACTACGTGGGAGTCCAGCGACATAACCATTACGCTAACTGCTGGTTCCCAAGGCTATAATACTTTTTATTTCCACTAAAATGTTCTGTGGCATCAATTACTTGGTCACCCAAAGCCTGTGAAGACAAGAACTTGAATAGGGTGCATAGAGGCGATCATTTACTAACTGTTTCATCCCTGTGGTGGACCATCAGTGCCCCTTGTCCCACCAAAAACCAGCCATGTTGCCTTTCAATCTAATCAGATAAGAAAACCAATATCAGATAACCCAGAAGCAATGCAGAGAGCCCATCCTTCAGGCTCTGCTCCTTGGGAAGCATCTCTAGTACCAAATTCCGTATCAGTCAGGGATAAGCAGAGAGGCAGGAGCGCTCGTACACGCGACACATGTATAGCAGGTTAAACCTTGCACAGATCCCAGAGCTGGTTAGTGCTCTAGGGGAGGTGTTTCTTCTCTTTCTAGGGCTGCAGCCTGAAGCCAGAGGGCAGACAGTCCGACAGGGAAGATGGGTATGAAGTGGGGAGAGGAGGGGGAGGAAGGCCAAACTGGAATTTGTAGGGATACATGGAACCCACAGGGATGATTAGAAGACCACATGGGTCTCAAAACCTCCAGCCGCCAGCTTCGCTGACAGTGTGTCCTGCAGGAGAGGCTGACTCCCTCACTAACGGAGCTAGACACTCAAGCAGCCCAAGAGTTGAAGCTGGATGAGGGAATCCAGAGCCTCACAGCAGCGAGGTAAGCCCATGGGTCCCTCCTGCCTGAGCTGCAAACAGATCTCACGTTCTGCTCCATCCTCTCAAGCATAAAAAGTTACGGCCGCTACTTCCCATGCACCTTCCAAATCCCACACGGAACTCCTACCCTGGCCCTGCTAACCCAGAACTCTTCAGGGAGAGGACTCCTGAGAACTCTAGCTTAGCGAAAGTTACGCAATCCAAACTTACCACGCCTCGAACAAAACAAAACATGTTTTCTCCCAGTGCTTGTCGCAAGCCCTGGCCCAGGTTCCAAGTCTCCCTGGAGTGATACCATCTGTTCCACAGTCCAAGAACATGGCTTTGCAATCAGGCAGCCTGTTTCCTGACCATCTGTCTTCCTCATTACCTGTGCGGCCTTAGGCTAAATGCTTCGCTTCCTTGAGTTCGGATCCTGCCCCTAACATGGAGTGGGGTGGGACGTAGGTAGTGTAGCACCCGGCACCGAGAAGGTACTCGAGACACCCGCTGAGCATCAGTGCACGGTAACTCTGTCCTCCCTGTCATTCGGCCCGAGTGGGCTTTACCCTGACTCCTTTTTACTTTAGTAACAGCTTTGAGTGAACCTCCCCACTCCCCCAAACCAAATGTACCTATAACCAAAGAGTTCACTTTACATGTCTGGAGGGTCGCTTTTGTATCTGAAGCTCAGTTTCAAATGCCAGTCGGAGACTGTATTTATAAGGCAACCTGTTCATTGAGTGTGCATTTGTGTTTTCTGCTAATCTGTAGAAAGCTCTGTGTGGGAGGCCTCTGTGTTCTGGTCTGCACAGTTCAGCATCTCTCTTAAAATAGAAGGCCAGAAGTAATCAGGGGAATGACCTTCTGGATGGTTCTACTATCAGTCAAGGAATTGGCAAATAAACCAGTCAAAGAGAACATGTCTTCCCAAGTTTTGTGGCTCACTGTGAGTTCGTTGTTTCCACCGAGTGGTTCATAGTGGTGATTACATGCCCAAGGCAGCAGCCATGGAGGGTGGCATTCGGGACCCTCCACTGAGGATGAAGTTCAGATCTCCAGACTGACCACCCAGGGAAGGCTCTGGAATCCAAAGAGGCTGTTAGAGTCGAGAAGAAATGGAGCTGGCCCTCTCTGGAGTCCAGCGTATCCTGGAGAAACCCAAGGCAGGAGTCTCTGAAATGCTGTGGGTTCTATTTTCTGCCTTTGTGGGCTGGAACTAAAGGCCGTGTAAGAGGACGGCTGGAGCGCAGGGTTTGGACTAGGACCTGAAGGCTCAAGTTACTTCTGCTGTTGCTGTGCTGGTGATTTGGGGAAAGTCTCCTAACCTTTCTGGTAGATAAAGGTTCTGTATGGTCCCTTCCAGCTCAAACCCAAGTCAGCCTTCTCTCTTAACCTCACAGCACCCTGGCCTCTTTGTGCCTGTCTGGATACGGGCTCTGATCTGGGATGTCCCAGTCTGCCCACAGCCATCCCTGCAGAACCTACCACCCTGCCTTCCACCTCAAGCTGGTGGGAGAAGGAAGATAACCTGGGCAGGAATCTCTTCTCCATCATCCAGAATATCATGACTGAAGAGAAATGACATTAAGAGTGAAGCACCCGGAATCAGCAATGCCATAATGGTTATGTTGCTGGTTCAAGTACCAGACCCGGTGGCTTGAAACTCATGCTGGGTGTATGTCTGTGCATGCCCAAAATCCTGAAAGGAGAATGGAGGAGAAGGGATTTCAGTGTGGCCAACTTTCTGGGGTGTGTGTGGGTGTGTGTGATTTCTTGCTTTCTGTCTCTCTGTCTCTGGTAAGCGCACATACCCTACAGCAAAAAATAAAATAAAATAAAATAAAAATAAAAATAAAAAATAAGAGAGTGAAGCACACGATGTCTTCCATGTACCTATTTAAAACTGGATCTGAGAAATGGCTTTGACTAAAAAACACCAGCAGGTGGCATGGTGGCTAAGGCATTGGACTCCCACATGGTCGACTGTGGTTTGAGTCCCAGACATGGAAGCTTGAAACTCACATTGGGCGGGTGTGTACATGCTCCAAATCCCAAGAGGAGAGTGGAGGAAAAGGGATTACAGCAAGGCCATCCTCCCTGGGAGGTGATCCCTCACTTTCCCTCTCTCTGTCTCTCTCTGACAAGCACAAAGACCCGATGGCAAAAACCTGAAAACAAAACAAACAAAAAACATAGTGAACAAATTGGGTACTTGAGCTCCACTCTGCAATGCATTGTCAAATACAGACCCTGAGTCCCTCTCAAACTTCTCTGAAACACTACTGCATTCAGAGTAATCTCATAAAACTCAATTTTATTTTGAAAATGTTCAACATCAGAGGTTTTTATGGGGTTATTTTGGGGGCTGTTCATTGCCGAAGGACAGAGCCCTTACTTGGAAAGGGCTCTCCTTTGTTTGGAAATGTGCTCTTTTTTCCTGCAGTCTTCGTGTTAGAACACCCTTTTTTTATGAATTGATAGAAGAGTTGGGTTTTAAATGTCCTTAGTAAATAAAAATAAATCCCATAGCCAAACTGTATAGGAGAGCAAAACTCCTACTCTGTGAAATCCAGGTACTTCTGTGTGCCCTGTATCAGCCCAGGGTGGGCCGGAGTTTCCATTTACATAGCCAGGAGCAAGACTGTTTTTTAAGAGACTGGCAGTCAGAGAGGTTCAGAGCCCAAGATACAGGGCTGGGGTTTACAAACTGCCCTCTCTGGCCTGGAAGCCCCCTTGACACGATTGCCAATTAGCTCTTCTAGGGAAGGGAGACCCTGCGCTTGGCTCGAGGTCTCCTTCCAGGGGTTCAGGAAATGAGCCCAGGAGCTCACCCTGGAAAAGCTGCTTACTAACCTTCCCTTCCCCCAGAGAACATGAGTCCCTTCAAGGCTAGTGCCCCAAAGCAGAAGCCCTAGGGACTTCCTAGGGGAGCCAAAGGCCTGTGTGCTTATTAGCCTTGACAATGAGTTTCATTTACCGCCTAGAGGGCAGATTTATAGAGCTGATTTTGCTTCTACTTGAGTGAAAATTCTCTGGAGGGTAATAGCAATCAGCTGATTGCAGAAACTGAAAGATAAGTGCACCTCAGGAAAATCCCCCGACTGGAAACAAGGAGAGAGAGAGAGAGAGACGCAGCTGGCCCAGAGTTAGGGGAGCACTCCCTGCACCGAGGGGTGACCTCAGAAGTGGAGGCCCTGGGCGCCGGTACCTTGCCAGGATCTATGACCACTATCACTTTCTGGGAACTCTGGAGCATGAAGCATGACCTGGGGCTCCAAGCTGTGGGCCATCAGGAATGAGGTCCATGACCCAGAGCTTCTCTCGGGAATCCAGCAGAGGCAGGACTCTGCCGCAGGAGAGGAGAGCAGAAGTGCGGGCTGCGTGGAGGAGCTAGGAGCAGAAGACGTTGGGGAAGTACTGGTAGAAAGGGTTGTAGCTCCACAGGTTCCTCTTCAGGCAGTACACGAGGTTCCGGTCGCAGGCACAGAGCTGCATCTGACAGAGGGGTGCCGGCTCTGTAAACAGGACCAGATGCAGAGTGGGGTGTGAGCACACCCTGCCCACCTGGGCATGCTCCAGTCGGAGCAGGTGCCCAGTCTGCTTCCTGCTCCAAGGAAGCCTCCGTTTGGCAGAGGAGGCACAGCTCCTACACAGCACAATGCTGAATCGGACAGAAGAGGCACAGCCGCCCCTTAGGGTGAAGTTTTGGTCCACAGCTCTTGCCCTCAAGGAGCTCCCCTGGGGAGCTCACTCCCTTCCTTTGAGGAGCCCAGTCTGCTGGTGGAGACAGCTGCTCTCACAGAGGAGATACCATCCCCAGGCTTAGATTTGAACTCGGAGGACCTGAGCTTGAATCCCGCTGTGCGCTCTGGCAAGTTTTGAGCTTCAGCTTGCTCAGGTATAAGATGTATAAGGCGAGATGTAACCGGTCCCAGACTTGGCACTAGTGAATACGCAGTCTAAGTTGTGACGGTCCTCCCCTGCTGTCTGGTGCAGCTGCAGGAATCCTGCCCTTCATATGCCCAGCTCTGCTCCCACTGACCTCTAGGACTGATGGACTCAGAGCCAGGAAAGACCCAGGCTCTTCCAACGACCTGAATGGGAAGCCCCAGCCTTACCGCAGGTGACCAGGCCCCAAGCAAATCTGTATTTGTACGACTGTGTCCGGATGTTGCAGTGTTTCGCCTCCAGCTGCCCGTAGCAGTTGTCATGCATCCAGCAGCACCTGTCACCGTCAGACACACAGGTCCTGAGTGGGGAGGCACCCCCTTGACCCTTGTCCCTAAGAGCAAAACTCCCTCGACCTTGTCCCTTGTGAAGGCCACTGTGGTGGGTGTTGCCTGACGAAAAGGAATTTGACAATATCGCTGGTGTTTCCTTACCCTTCCATCAGAGCCTCCATGGCTGGCAGCTCACTGGCCCACTTATCCCCCCGGGCTCATGATTAGACTCCATTTTCCAGCCTCCCTGGTGGGTGCTGGGCAGTGAGATGTGGGCAGAGGCGATGAGCATCACTCTCAGACCTGCCCAGGAAAGCAACCTCGCTGTCCTCCACTTTCTGCTGCATGGAGATGGCCCAGCAGAGGACTCTGAGGCCATAGGGAATGGAAGATGCACAAGATGGAAGGAACTTGGGTCCCTGAATCAATGTGGTCCTCTTCCCTTTGTGACCTCCTCAGCCAAGAGTATAGTGTCAGTGACACCATGCAGTTTCTAAAGCCGATCATAAAGACGCCATACTCTTTTGTCTAACAGTTTGGGGACACACACTCTTGGAACCCAAGAGTCACCATGCTGTGAGGAAATCCAAACATCCCTGGAGAGGCCACACTGAGGGGCCTGGAGGTCCCTGGCCCACTCTCAGGAGACAATGACGACTTGCCAGCTATAGGAGCAAGCCACCTGGGAAGTCCGTCAAGCTGTTCCAAGCTGAAGGCCAGTAGAGCAGAGGCAAGACATCCCACCAAGCCCTACTCAGAATGGCAAATTCATAAACAAAATAAATGATTGTCACTGTTTTAAGCTAATTAGGTATAATTCATATGGTATCTGCATGAAGCGGGCAGAGCTTCATGAAGGAGCTTCCTCTGCCTCCTCTCCTAACACCATTTAGAACATAAGGCATAGACTCACCATAAGGCAGATTGGGAGCCTTGGAGATCACAAAAGGCAGCGACATGGGGATGTTTGTTACACGCCATGCACCAACTGACACATTAGGCCACTAAGGTCTTGGGAGTGTTTGGAAGTTACCTGCTATAGCTTTGTAGGCCAGGTGACATTTTGAGACTCATTTTTTTTTTAATCTATGAAAATGATGCTTTAATACTCATCTTCTAGAACTGACATGGGATTTAATTTGGTAACGAGGTGCAAAGCCTGGAGCATCATGGGTAGTTAAGGTAATCAGCTCACCAGTCGGTGCCATCCTTGGGGATCCCTTGGCCACCCCAGCCACAGTAGCAGCCATAGAAGCCATAGCACTTCAGGGCGTTCTTCCCAGTCACTTTCTCGATCATGGACTTGAGGTCAAGCAAGCTTCCCGGCACCACAGGCACACCTGAAAGACAGCCATGACCCTGGAAAACTCAGATTCCAAGGTCGCTTCCCGCATCTCCTGCCCCTTCTCCCACCCTGGGGTTTGGAGGGACCCAGTACCCCCTTTTATTCTCCCAATTAGTGGGAATGGAACAAGGACACCGAGGGCAAACAGTATAGAAATGTGGTTAAGAGTTTGGACTTGCGGGGACCAGCAATTAGCGTAATGGCTATGTTGCTGGACTCCCACGTAGTCGACCGCGGTTTGCGTCCTGGACCCAGTGGCTTAAAACTCACGCCAGGTGCATGTGCGTGCGTGCCCAAGATCCCGAGAGGAGAACGGAGGAGAAGGGATTGCGGCATGGCCATCCCCTCTGGGAGGTGATTTCTCGCTTTCTGTCTCTCTGTCTCTGTCTGTCTGGCGAGCGCACGCGCCCTATAGCGAAAACCTCTCCAATAAAAAAAGGAGTTTGGACTTGGAAGACAAGCAGGCTTGGGTTCATGTCCTGCCTCTGCCACTAATTCAAAGTTTGGTACTGAGCAGGCCACTTGTCTCTCTGAGTATCAGTTTGCTCATCTGGGAAAAACTGGGGATCTAAAATTAGCAAATAGTGGGGGCCAGCAGGTGGTGTGGTAGCTAAGGCAGTGGACTCCCACATGGTAAACCGCAGTTCAAGTCCTGGACCTGGCAGCTTGAGAATTATGCTAGGCACATGTACATGCACGCCCCAATCCTGAGAGGACAATGGAGAAGGGGCTGCATCAACGCGCCACCCCTGGGAGTGATTTCGCACTTTTCCTCTATCTCGCTCGCTCTCTCTCTCTGGTGAGCACATGCACCCTATGGCAAAAACCTTAAAAACTAGCTAAATAAATAAAATTAGCAAATAGGTCCTGGAGTGGTCATGAGGGTTAAAATGAGATAAAATATGTAAATTTTGAGCACAGCTGCAGGCACATAGTAATGACCAAGAAATATTAGGTATAATTTTATGGCATCTGCATGAAGCAGGCAAGCACTTCCTGTCTCTCCTGGTAAGACACCCACTTCTTCTTCTTCTTCTTTATTTAACTTTATTTTTTTATTTACATTTTTTAATACATTCAGTCACATTATTTAGCTTACAAGGTGATCATTTCAATATGTGAACGTTTCTCCCCGGTCCAGTTGATCAAAATATAACAACACTACCTCCCTGTCTAAACAATGCTGTCTCCATATCCCTCCCCACTTCTAAATAACACTATTTAGAACATAAAGCATACTCTTAAGTGGAAAGGTGCCCTGTCCAGGGTTTCACAATGAGCCTGAGGGTCGCTGCCTGCACCAAGCTTCCAGGTCCTCCTGGGGTTTCTGGGATCTGGCAAGACCTCAAAGAGCAGAGCTATGTGTGTGCATGGGGGGAAGGGGGGTACAGGGAGTGTGTGCCCTGTTACCGGGCTGGAGGGGGTGCCCACAGCCAGCCGTAGGCTCACCTTCCTTCTGGGAGGTGGCAAGGTAGGGTGCAGAAGGCCTAGACAGGCCTAGGCAGAGAACGGCCCAGGAATGGTGGGCTGGAATAGTTTCTTAAGGGTTCTGTTTCTCACTTGAAAGTCTTTGTTTTGTTTTAGCCTTATTTTATTTTGTATTAGACCCAAAGGAAAAATCTGCCTCTTAGGTTTGCCAACTGCACATCCCCAAGCCCACAACCTTCGCACGCCTGCCGTCAGCATCTCCCAGAGCCCAGCCCCAGCCCAGGGAGGAGCAGCTCGGAGACACGAGGCCTCTGCTGACGTCTACACAGCATGTCCAGAGTCAGGATCCAAACAAAGCCTCTCTCCTTTCCTACCCTGTGGCTTCCTAGGTGAACGTCATTCATGGGGTAGGGGACCAGCACTTACTGCAAGCCAGGAGCCAAGCCAGTGTGAGGAGGCCCTTCAGCTCCGGGGTTCTGGAAAAAAAAAAAAAAGACAAGATAAACACAAAGCCTCCGGGTGCCTTGGGCATTTTAATTGGACAGGCACATCCCAAACTCTTCTGACATGTTCCCTTCTTCTCCTTCCCTTTCTTCCTGAGTTAGCTGGCCGCTCCTTGATCCCACCACGGATGGCTGGCTTTAGTTTTTCTGTTTCTTCCCTTACACAGGAAGATCGAGCAATCTCATTTGCTGACGGCAAACATCAACAACCAACCGGACACGTGGCAGATTGCGGTGGTTGGCCAGGACGGTCAGAGATAATAAGGAAATAGCCATCGCCCTAGCTTCCCCACCGTAAACCAGTAAGCCCCGATAAAAGCCCCTGCCCTTCAGGGCCGATGCAACTCGCTGCGTCGGGCCCCTTTCCTCACTTGGAAAGTGAGTACATCTTTTCTATCTGCTTACCGTCTGGGCCTGGGAATTCTTCCACGGCCTGGAACACAGATCACCCCAACAGAAAACCCACCTCAAGACATGCCATCGAGGCAATGCCCATGGTCCCGAGAGGCCCCACCCACTGGATGCCAGGCCCTGCCTGTTCCAGCATCCCCTCATGTTGGGCAATAAGCAGGTGACCCCCGCTGGAAAAGATGAGGCAAAGCCTCCAGGAGTGGGCCAGTGGAGTCCCTGAGGATGGAGGCATTAGTGGAGGCACCTGCAGGGCTCTTGACCCCACCAGAGGCAGGAGAAAACTAGCGCACCACCAGCACACCCAGCCCCAAATGCCCAACACACCTGCACCCTCAGCAGAAAATGGCTAAAGGAACTAGAGACATAAGCAGGATTCTTGACCGGAGTCTGAGATTAAGGAGAGGGATTGACATGACTAGACATGGCTCTTGGTGAAAGACCCAAGAACTGGCAGGGAGAAAAGAAAGTTGGACAAAGACAGCGACCCGTGCTGGCAGAGGGAAGGCAGGAGGGAGCCTGGACCAGAGCCCAGAGGCCAACGGCAGGGACTTCAGGCTCCATCAGGGAGGGCAGGCATGCCTGACCCAGCCCCAGCAGGCTCCAGTCCAGCCCGAAAGACCCACCTGAGACCTGCACTCTGGCCGGATAGTCAGCCTCTACAAGCCAGCATTCTACTCTCTCTTCTGTTTTAGAGACAGATTTTTGCTATGGGATGCACGGGCTCACCGGAGAGACAGAGAGAGACAAAGAACAAGAAATCACCCCCTGGAGGGATGGCCACACTGCAATCCCTTCTCCTCCATTCTCCTTCTGGGTTTTTGGACTCGCACACACACCCGCCTGGCGTGAGTTTTAAACTGCCAAGTCAGGGACTCAAACTGTGGTCGACTATGTGGGAATCTAGTGACATAACCATTACACCATCTGCGGGACCCTCTACTCCCTACTGCTAAGGGGCCAACTGTGGCAGCTTCCACCTAGGAGTGAGAACGTGTGATATTTCTTTCTGTGCCTGGTTTATCTCACTTACTATAATGTCCTCCAAACTCATTTGTCTTGCCTTGAATGACAGGATCTCATTCCCTTCTGATTTTAAAACAACTTAAAGTAAAACATTGCCGGGCCCCAGGTACTGTGTTTAGCTACAGAATAAGAATAAGAAAAGAAGGCTAAGAATGGACCTGACCTCTCTGCATGTCAAGTATCACGGTTCTCATTTTTCCAGGAGGAAAACAAGGGCTCAGAGAGCTCAAGAGACTTGCCAAAGTCACACAGCCAGTAAGAGGTGGAGGCAGGCCGCAAACCCTGGCCTGTGCACCCCTCGTGGCCGGCCCCAGACAGCCTCCCTTCCTGGAGGGATGAATTCTTTGCCTGGGAGGCTGTGTTCTTCCTTCTTATGCTCCATCTCACGGGCACAGAGCTCTCAGCATCCCTCCTTGGAATCTGTTTTTAGTAAACATACCCATCTCTGACCTCAAGCCCCCAAACTATCAGAGCCAGGAGGCAGAGGGATTCTGGGGTCTCGAAGTTTCTTACCAGCAGCTGCCTGTGTCCGTTCCTCCAGGGTCCCAAGTCCTTGCTTACCCACTGTGGCTTAGCTGGCCCGTGGTCTGCTGGCATTTCCTCTTTGGTGCCCTGCCGTTTCCGAGCCCCTGAATTCAGCAGTCACCGTGCCAGTGTTCGGCCCAAACCCAGGGCTCCTCCCAAGGCCTGGCCTCCAGGTCACCTGGCTGGTCTCTATGCCCTCCTTTGTCCAGCAGCCTCTCTGAGTTCCAAGAACATTCCTGAGGTTCTGTCCACCCACAGCCGTTGCTCTGAGTGCTCTCAACAGCCAAGGAAAGTGGCCCTAGGTTACAGCTATCTTCTCGCTGCTTCCAGGAGCTGCAGCAGGAGAAAAAGCCCAGCTACCCACCACAGGGCACTTTCAATGGCCAAGCACCATCGCTGTCTCTGTAAACCTCCAGGGACCTTGGTAGGTGGCTATTGTTAACCTGCAGTCCAGCTACTGTGCCCTTCACAGTTCATTTGTTGAATGAATGAATGGCAGTTGCTGATGTTCACAGATAAGACGGGTCAAAGGACTTGTCCTAGAGGACTGGGAACCTACTCCTTTGACTGACTCTGCTCCATGCCCGTGAGCACCCCTGTGCACTTGTGTTTCTTATTTTCTATATTTTATGAAGCTTTGACATCTTGGGGTCTTGCTGGCCAGGAGAGAGTGCCCCTCTAGGGCTGGCTATTCCCAGAGACAGCAAACAGCACGCCTTTCATATGCAAACCAACTGATCTGAGCCTCAGCCCAACCACCTCCTATATCTAATTCATTCCCAGCCAGTATTTCTCCTGGCCTCATCACCCCAGGGCTGGATACTGGACAACGAGAAGTCAGGAGCCCACTAAAATGATGAAAACCGGGGAGCCCGGGGCGAGGTGGTTAAGGCAGCTGGATCCCACATGGCCGACTGCGGAGCTTGAGTCCCAGATCCAGTGGCTTGGACAAACATGCTAGGAGAGTGTGCAAAACCCCCGAGAGGAGAATGGAAGAGAAGGGGCCTGCACTCTCCCTCTTTCTTTTGCTTGTTCTCTCTCTCTCTCTCTTTCTCTCTCTGTCTCTCTTCAGCAAGTGCATTGCTCCCTATAGCATTTTTTTTATGCAAACTAACCAGTCCTAAGTCATTTCCCCTGCCCTGCCTTGCCTGTCCCTCAGAAATAATAAAGGCTCTGGCCCCGCTTTCTGCAGCTTCCTCTTTCCCCTGCCTGTAAATAACAAACAATATTTAACGGCAATCATTTCCCAGTCTGCTGGCCTCGCTGGAATAAAACCAACACACCAGGTACATTTTAGGACACCCCAGCACATGGGTTGTTGATGTGGGCAGGGCAGCAAGAGGACCCATGAAAAGGGGCTGAACGAGTGAAAAGACGGTTCACAGAGGAGGTGGCGGGGCAGTGAAACAACCGCACACAGCCCTGGAAACAGACATGGAAGAGCCGAGCAGGCCCCCGGAGAAGGATGTGGCGTTCGCTATTTTTATCGCGCACCCACAGAGAGGAATGAGCGCAGCCGCAGGGTAATTTCGGAGTGAAGCAGAGGCTGGCAGTAATGAGAGGTGGGGAGACTGGAGTCAGACAAACGGAAGCACGGAGATGTGGAAGCTGCCCAGTGGTCGGGTCACCCCAGGGACAGGGCCTTAGAGATCACACTCAGTAGCCTCCGAGCTCCCAGCACCCCCAAGTCGTGTCTTGAGCGGCTGGGAAGGATGAACAGCACTAAGCCTCCCCGCCCCACTCCCTCACAGCCCCTGTCTGTGCCCCCCATCCCCCCAGGCAAGGCAGCCCCAAGAATGAGAGTCCTCACCAGCCAGACCTCCTGTGGTCCTCAGGCCTGGAGGCTAGGCAGGGGCTGGGTCTGCCTGGTTTTAAGGGCCTCTCTGCCCGCCTCTCACACTCCTGCTGTGGTCAGCTCCAAGATTCCCGGTAATACACACAGGAAGTCCTACTTCCCTCCTCAAGACCCCCAGAAATGTTTCTCCTCTCTGGGTTCAGAAGCAGCTCTTTCCTGAAGCAGGTCACAGTGTCTGGGTGGCTTTCAGCAGAGACACTGAGACTTGGGCTACCCGCAGGCCAGGGCAGAGTCCTGGAATGCCCCTCCTGCCACAGCTCCCTCCTCCAGCCACGGCGGGGCTTCTCAGAGTCCCCCCAGCTCTTGTGGCTGTTCCAGCCCACACTCCGGCTCCCTTTCATCTGCCTCGCTCAGCCTCCACCCAGGGCCAACCATGGGAGCTGGGCGGCCCCCACCAGCCTTGAAGCATTGCCTCCTGTGCACTTGCTGTGGTTCCCAGTTGCCACCTCCAAATTTCTCTTCCCTGTTCCCGAGCTGAGCGACTCAGGAGCCTATGAACACCGCGCTGGAGACACCGCCGTGTTGCTTCCCCTGAGTCCCCACAGCTCCCTCCTTCTCCACCCCTGACTCCTTACTGGCTTCCTGCATGTCCTCCCTCTGGGGAAGGAGAACACTCCAGGCTTGCAGGTAGAGAGGTGTGAGCTGGAGTCCAGGCTCAGCCACCTGGTAGCTGTGTGACCCTGGGCGAGTCACTATACATGTCTATTTCTCCAGGTGAGACATGCAAGTAATGGTCCCCTCTACCCCTAAGTCTCATGGTGAGGAATGTACCAGGGCCAGCAGATGGTGTAATGGTTACAGCGCTGGACTCCCACATGGCCGACCATGGTCGTCCCATATAAAGTAAAGCATCTTAAACAATGTTGGGGCTGGCCATGGTGCCGCAGTGGTGGCACAGTGCTCTGCAATGCTGGAAGCCATACAGAAAGTCGGGGTTCAGGTCCCGGTTTGCCTGCCTGTGATCCCGGCTGGTTAGAAACGGCTGAGGGAGAGGCACTGGGGTGTGAGACCCCACTGGGGGTGCTTGTCTTTCTCTCTCTCAGGCCAGTCCGTGGCACGGTTGTTAAGGAGGCTGGATGCCACAAGGCTAACCCTGTGCTTCGAGTCTCAAGCCCACAGCTTGGTAAAACACACGGAGCACATGCGCATGAGTGCCTGAAATCCTGAAAGGAGGGAGAGTGGAAAAGACAGGATTGCGGCGTGGCCAGCCCCCATGGAGGCCGGCCTGCCCCTCTCTCTTACCTTCTCTTTCTCCAGTGATCACACATGTCCTCTGGCTAAAATTCTTTTTTAAAAAGAGAGAATGACAATGAGGACATTGGTAGGCAAGTCATGGCTCAGTGGGTAATGTCACAGACTCTACATTAGCTCCAAGTCCTGGGGCCAAATCCTGGCTTCTCCACCAGCAGCTTCGTCACCTCAGGGCTGACCGTGGGTCACTTGCCTCCAGAATTGCTGTTAGGATGAACTGGATTCATGATACCTTTAGAGCAGTGTGAAGGCAGAATAATGCTAAGTTAACGATAGCTAACCTTCTGGAGTGTCTGCTATTCTCCATTCTCCACCCCCGTTAATCCCTTCTGCACCCCCCAGTCCCCACAAACCCACTTTTCTGAGAACACCTGGATGTGAGCTCCCTCTTCTGTTCATCATTAACTTCTTTTTCTTTCATTCATTCTTTCTCTCTTTTTTTTTAATGTCCAGAGAGTGCATGCGCCCACCAGAGAGACAGAGAGAGCGAGAGGGAGAGGGAGAAATAATCCCTCCATGGAGTTGGTCTCGCCACAATCCCTTCTCCACCATTTCTCCATCCTGCTGGGAGACTGAGCACACCTGCACATGCACCTGGAGTGGTTCACAAGCCACGCGGCCTGGGGGGTCCAGCTCCCCCAATTGCTAGGTCTTAGGGCCAACCCTTAATTTCTTTTTCTCTTCTTCTCTCCCATCACTGCAGCATCAGAGAGAAGCCTTGTGTGTTTGCCGACTTGCCAGAGGGTGTGTGCACTCACCGGACAGAGAGAGAGAGAGAGAGAGGGAAAGTGAGAAAGACGTTTCCCACTGAGCCACACTGTCCTACCCAGCGGCTATGGAGAATGGTCTCCTCAGTTTCTCTCTCCTGTTGAGAATTTGGGTGCGTGCACACACACGTGCCCAGCATGTTTCTTAAGTCATCAGCTCCAGGACTGGAGCCATGCAGCCAGCTATGTGGAATCCAGCTTCTATGACCACCAGGTCACAGGCTGGCCCAAGAAGCCCCTCTTGCAGACCCCCATGAACCTGTTCCTCCTAGGACCTAACCACTGCCCACCTCCAGGAACCCCTCGAACTCAGTTCGATGCAAAAAGTACTTAGTGTGTGCGCCTGCCTGCACTACTGGGAGTTCAACTGTGAAAGGACAGGGAACCTGCCTCCATAGAGCCTTCTCTGGCTGAGGAAACCCAGAGCAAAGACCTCCAGCAAGTGCGTCAGTGGTGACGAGTGCTAGGGGAGATCCTCTCTGCTCTATCTTTATATTCCTGTTTCTCGGCAGGACCCTCCCTTCCCCGATGGGCACTCACACACCTAGCCACCCTACACCGAACAAAGCCAAGCCAGACGAAGGAAACACCCCCTGTCTCCAGGAACTTCTCTCTCTAGCTCCCTCTTTCCTACAAAGCCTATTTCTGGTCAGAGAGGCCTCTGCGTCCTCCCTGCCCACTCACAACCCTTTCCCATGTGGCCTCTGCTACATCTGAGCCTGTTTGCAAGGATTACTCAGCCCGGCACTGCCCAAGTGTGAGCCCACCCCTTGGCCTCTCAAGACAGTCTGTCTTGTTGGGACCAGCAGTTGGCATAATGACTTTGTTGCTGGATTCCCATGTAGTCAACTGTGGTTCAAGTCCCGGACCTGATGGCTTAAACTCATGCCAGGCGCATGTGTGTGAGTGCCCAAGATCCTGAGAGGAGAATGGAGGAGAATGGATTGCGGTGTGGCCATCCCCCCAGGGGATGATTTCTCGCTTTCTGTCTGTCTCTCTCTGTCTCTCTGGCAAGTGCATGCACCCTATGGCAAAAATCTCTCTCAAAAAAAAAAAAAAAAAAAGGCATTCTGCCTTGCTGACCACCTCCTTCTGGAAGTCTCTCTCCCTCTGGACTTCCTCAGGCTACCCTGTACCAGCTGCCCTCGCTGTCTCACTCCATGCCCATTGCCCGCCCACACTCCCTGAGATGCAGGTCTTTTTCCAGGGACCTGCCCCCTGGAGCTTGCTGGTCCCTGCCTTCACCTCTCCCAGGTGAGCTCGTCTGTGCTCAGGGGTTTCCACACAGGCATCCCGGAGGCGCCCAGGCCAAGCAGTGTTT